ATGAAGCAGTAGTGTTAACAATTCATATTTTCTGAAATATTGCTAGCTAGGAGCCAGGCATGGGAGCATCAGGCTTACAGTAAATAAAATAAAGAAAGCAACCTGAGTGAGATTTGTCTTAGTTTACTCTAGACAGTACTTTTCATGCCAAATGTTGTCGATCTTATTTCTGCTTGCCAGAGTTATTCTAATACATCACATTCTTTCTCTGGTTTATCAAGCAAGAGACATTTCTTTGCATGATAGCTAAAAATGTTTCTTCTTCCTCTGTAGTGGTCTTGTATCCTTATTAGTATTTATCATATTGTTTGTTTGTTGAAGGTGCAGTTAGACATTTGTTTATCTGCCTGGTGTACGCTTCAGCAATGGAAAGTTTTTGTCAAGTTTATTAAGTTAGTGTCAGTTATATGCCAAGTTCATCCAAACTGAGCATAAGTATTTAAGAAAAACAATTTAGACTAGTCTTAACTTTGGTTTCATGTGATTATTGTAAGCAGATAACTTGGTGATTTAGATTAGGCAGTTTAGTCTGCATTGAAACAAAAATTAACAACTTGCACATCATGTGGAGGTGTTTTCTTTTAAAGAATTGGATTAATAAAGTTTACAGCTTTCCAGTGTAGTACTGAGTAAGCCTCTCTTGGAAAACAAAGCTGTCTTTGCAGTAATTTAGAACATTAATATTTAATGCAAACTAAATTAAGGAAGAAAATTATAATACCTGAGCAGGATGGAAAAGGCAATCTTTGTAAATTCTAGTGGCTAAGATTTTAGCCTCCAACATAGGGTGTTCATGGTTTTGGTGTGGCATGGTTTGTTGTTGGTTTTTTTACATTATTCTTAAACATTTTTTAAATAATTTCAAGTGTTATGATGGACTTTTGTAGGCTGACAGTTGAGCTTCAGTGTGATGGGATGGGTGGAAAGATAAAGGGTAAATAAAACTAAAAGGACCTAGTATGAACAAACAAGGAAGGCCCTGTTGAACATGTGAAGATTGGGGCAGCCTTGGCTACAGTGACCAGGACATTGTGGAACTCAGTATCTTACATGAAGGAAGAGGGGCAGCAATTGAGATTGCAACCCTGGACTTCCAGAGTGTTAATTTTAGCCTATTCAGAGACTTTTTCTTGACAAATATCATTGCAATGTGCCTTCAGAGAAGAACGATCCAAGACAGCTGGTCAGTATTCAAGGATTATTTTTTTCAGGCTCAAAAGTGGTGTATCCTCATGAGAAATAAATCGAGAAAAGTAGGCTAGAGACCTGTGTGGATGAACATGGCACTCCTGTCAATACCCAAGCACAAGTGAGAGATACACAGGAGAAGGAAGCAGGGACAGAACACTTAAGATATAAATAGAGGTGCTGTCAGAGTATGCAAAAATGCAACAAGGAAGGCTGAGGCCCATCTGGAATTAAAAACCTGTCCAAGGATAACATCAGTAACAATTGGGAAATTAAGAAAAATGTGGGCCTGTTTCTAAATGAAGTGGGGACTCTGGTAACAGAGAATGCAAAGAAGGCAGAATTACTGAATGTCTTCTGTCCATCAGTCTTCACTGACAAGACCAGCCCTTAGGAATCTCTGACCTGGGACACCAGAGGAAAGGAATGGTGGAAGGAAGACTTCTGCTTCGTCAGGGAGGGCTGGGTTAGAGATCACCTAGGCAAGCCTGACATCCATGGGTCATGGGCCATGATGTGATGCATCCATGAGGGCTGAGAGATTTGGCAGACATCATAGCTAGGCCACTTATGGTCATCTTTGAAAGGTCATAGCAGTCAGAAGCGGTGCTTGAGGACTAGAGGAAAGCAAGTGTCACCCCAGCCTTCAAAAAGGGTGAGAAGGAGTACCCAGGCAACTGCTGCCTCACCTCAATCTCTGGAAATGTAATGAAGTGCCTTGTTCTGGAGGCCGTCTTTAAGTATGTGGAAGACCAGAAAGTTTCCAGGAGTACTCAGCGTGGATTCACTAAAGGTAAACCACACTCGACCAACCCAGTTGTCTTCTACAGTGACAAAACTACCTGGATGGATGAGGGGAGAGAAGTGAATGTTTTCTACCTGGACTTCACTCTTTGACACTGTCTCTCACAACATCCTCATAGGCAAACTAGGAGGTACAGGCTGGAGGAGTTGACAGTGAGGTAGTTTGTGAACTGTCTGAATGGCAGAACATTTGACCAGGCCCCATATTGTTCACTCATTCATCAATGAACTGGATGAAGGGGTAGATGCCTCCTCAGCAAGTTTACTGGTGACACAAAACTGAGAAGATGTCTCTGGCTGATACCTCAGAATGCTGTAGAGAAAGATCCTGACAGGCTGGAGGATGGGCAGAGAAGAACTGTCTGAAGTTCATAGGCAAATGAAGGGTCTTGTACCAGCACAGGCTGGGGTCTGACCTGCTGGAAAGCAGCTCTGTGGAGAAGGGCCTGGGGGTCCTGGTGTAGCCATCCATGAGCCAGCAGTGAGCCCTTGTGGCCAATGGTGTCCTGGGGTGCATTAGGAAGAGCATTGTCAGTAGGTCAGGGAAGTGATCCTGCCCCTCTGCCCAGCCTTTGTGAGGCACATCTGGAGTGCTGAGTGCAGCCCTGGGCTCCTCAGGACAAGGGAGATGTGGACCTCCAGCACTGGGTTTGAGCAGAGGGCAGCAAGGGTAATTAGGGTACTGCTAATCAGAGGTCATTAGGAAGACTCTGCTTGAGCAGACTTTGACCCCACCAGTGGTCCCTTCCAACCTTAACCATTCTGGGATTCTGTAATACTTTGCAACTGATTTAAACCTTAACAGAAAACACTCAGCCACTTAAATGGCAGCATCTGTACCTAGTATTTTGGTCTCTGCTGTCAAGTCCCACTTCTACATTCAGTATAGGCACTCTTCTATGTGCAAAACCAGAAATGGATGTCCTTATAGGACATCAAATGGGGTCCATTAGAAAAAGATAAGTTGTTCAGGAGTGATTGCAGTGATTCTTCAAAGAAGTTAAATTCATATGTAAGCAGTACTGCAGGCAATGACTACAGCTTTATCTCAGGCTGTGAGGGTTCCCACTCATACTTCTTGTCTGACTGTGTTGAATTCCAAGCCTGACCTCCAATACCAGTGAAGGCTCTCTTTTGCTCTTCTGGTAGGAACCCTAAGGACAACCTAGAAAATCCAGTATTTTCTCTTAGTCTGGCAAAAGGACTTCTACTGAATGTAATGAGACTGTGTAAGTAGTGTATTAGAGCTATTGACTAGGAGACAGCCTGAGCAGTTATGTTTCTATTCTCTGTCGGAGGTTTAGAATGTCACTATTAATGCATGCTCTTGTTAACTTGGATCAGCTTGAGAAAAAGAGCATCTGTGTAGGACAAAACCCCATTGTTTGTTCTAACCACAAATCCATTTGCTACAGCAGTTACTAAGCATCTTGAATAACATGACCAAGGAGTTAGGCATTGCTTTGGAGATAGGGGCTGGCTCAGGCTCCACATGTCAGAAAATAATGCTGTAGTCATATAAGTTCTTAGCTGAAGCTCTGCAGTCTCACCTCTGTGAGGAAGTGCTGCTCAGCTGTCCTTTTGAATATAGGGTTCATGACTTATTCTCAGAGGTTATTTACCCTGCAGAACTGTGGCTCTGAGGGATGGTTGTTTCAAATCTCATAACTTTTTTCCCATTTTTCCATTTTTGAATACCGAACTAGTTACAGACTCTCAGTAGAGAATGAAGTAAAGCAGGCTTCCAGCATCCCACTCTGTATGCCTTCATTTGAGCAAAGGACAATGTAGTCTTGATATAGCCACTGTTATTAGGTTAGTAAATTATTCTACTTTCAAGGAGTGTGTTTTTACGATCTGATCTGCACTAGCTAGGACTACTTGAAGGCGTGTTATTAGTAGGTTTGTTACTTGAAAGTGTGTTATTACTTGCTAGGTGGTGGGATTCTTCAGCCTTGGGGCCCCAAAGCAGCTTTTGGTTTCATTGCACATAGCTAAGAGCTGCCCAATCTGCTGCCTTTTAAATTGCTGGAAGAGTGAAGGCCAGTTTGTTAGTGAATAAATTATTCCTACTGCTGATGGCTGCTAAGTAACCTTGGGCTTTTTGATAGGGAGAGGAGGAAATTGTTATTGAAAGTTGGTAAGGCCTTGTGCAGTGGAAAGCTGAGGTCATAGGGAGGAATCTAGCTATATGAGTCAGGATTAGCAGTGAGGGAATCCTGAGCTTGGAGGAATTTTCTTCTTTAGCAGGAAGGGAAAATGGTTTTTGTGTTAAGGGAGGCCATGTGGTTATGGGACTATTGTGGTTATGGGACATTTGTCAGAGATGTTCAAGTGCAGGCAAAGAGAAAGTGGATGGGCAAAGTAATGTGACTCTGGGACACAAACCTTGTGATTAGGTGGGAAACATCTGAAAAAGGGGAAGAGGAGCAGTGCTTTGCTCTTTTGTTGGAGGGTTATGGTGAAGAAGGAAATGATTTCTGGGAACAGAATATATCTTGCATGGAATGAGAGTTGTAATAAATGGAATAAGGTTTGAATGCTTTACTGCTGGGGAAAATCAGATGGGTTTAGGTTCTACTTAATATATCTTGTATGGAATGAGAGTTGTAATAAATGGAATAAGGTTTGAATGCTTTACTGCTTCTCTGACCTGTCTGGAAAGCTCTGTGTGTTAACAAATTTGAGCTGCAGCTCATTTTGATCAGAGCTTTTCCCTGTTCCTCCCTGTTTTCTGAGCTGTCCATGATATTTCTCTTGCCATGTCAAAAAGAAAGTTATATAATCCCTGTAGTCTTTCTTTCTTAGGAGTTTGAGCTGACAAGACAATGAGGGTGCTAAATGCTTGGAAAATTAGGTGCTTACTTCTAAGGTTGTATGTTTCCCAAAATGTATTTTGAAAATTTAAAGTACAGTTGAATTTGTCTTCAATTTTTTTACAAGTAGTTACTAAGTAGAATTTATTAATTCTTACATTGTTCTGTCTTTTCTATCTCTTTCCAAAACAGGATGATACCCCTTTCATCTCAGACATTAATGATGAATCTTCATCATGGCCAAACACAGGAATATGTGATTAAGCCCAAATACTATCCAGTAAAAAAAGTGATTTCAGGAGAGCAGTCCACTGAGGGCTCATTACCACTGAGGCTGGGCCAGGATCAACCTGCATCCCCTTTGCGATGTGAGTACAAAAAGCACACTCCCTTCTCTCCTCCCCACAAAGCTCCCACTACTCGGTTTTTTGAGATCTTGAAATTTTCTCCAGTAACACTTGAAGGCAGAGAAAGGTTAAAACAACTCTACGTGAGAATTCTTTGATTAGCAGATGCTTCAATATTCTGAATGTTGTGGAGAAACAAAACAGATTTTGTGGATGAGAAAAAAAATTGAACTTGATTCACTGTTGAAAATTTATCATGTTATTTCTAGATAATAGTTTTTTCTTCAGAAAAGGGTGCTTTGTAAATGCTTTGTTGGAATAGGCACATCTCTGAGTGTAGTCAGTGTCAGTATGATGGATATCTTTTTGGAAAGCTGGAGTTCAGGACTGTGGTCTCACTGGTGACTATTTTCTCTATATTTAATTTATTACGTGTTTATGAACTTCTGCACAGTATGGAGCTGCCTGAGAGTTTCTGCTTCATATTTATAAAAAAAAAGGTTGTGTAGGTGCCCAGCTTGTGGCCTTGGCTCATGCCCCGTTGTGTGCAGAGCTTGAGGACAAGTTTTGGCTTAGAAGATTAAGAGCTTGATGAATTATGGGTTAGGTATTACAGAACGTCTGCTGGCTTGATTTGGAGAAAAGTTCCTGCAGCTGAATAATGGACTGATTAACATTGAGACCTTAAGGTACTTGCAGTCTCCTGACAGACTTCCTTTGCTGTAGCACAAAGAATTATGTTTTGCTGAGGTTTTGGGGAAGAGCCTTTCCTTCTAAATCTTTACTTAGAGTTCCTTTGTGTATATTTGCATTTCTGCATTGCACATCTTTGTGGTGTGTCCATTTACACTTAAATACAACTCCCTGCTTCCTTTTCTTCAACTGTAAGTTTGTTGATGGTAAATGAGTCTATTGGCTCTAATGGGAAGAACAGTGGGTAGCTGGAGGTCTTTCAGTTAACATTTTCACTATCTCCCTTTCTTAGAAGTTTCAGAAAGATTTATTTTTTTTTAGTCACACTGGCAACATCAAGCAGTAGTCTCTTTTGTAAATAAGATAATACTTCTTTTTTTCCAGTCAGCAGTTGTTTTCCTTCAGTTAAAATGGCCACCAGGATTGGATTGTGACCACCTCTTGTGACTCTTACTAGTCAGAGTTTACAAATTCCAGGTTTTATAGTTCTCCAGTATTTGGAGTAACACTTTCAGGTTGGATTCTGACCAAAAAAAAAAAAATTCATCTTTCCTTTTGGCTCTGTTTTTCAGGCTGCTTAAGTCATTCCACTGTCAATACACTCAGTGGTACTCACAGGTATCAAGCTGCCACTAAATGAATGGATTCTGAGAGGTTTTTTTTTCTTCTATGGTAGCATAAGGAAAAGACTCCATGCAGCTGTAAGATGAGGGAGCCAGTGCTTTTAGCTCTTTTTAGCTTATTTGAGCCCCACTGTTGCTTACAGTGCTCTGAGGGATATGACTAGGAGAAGGAAAACCAGGAGCTGAAGACTGGAGTGGTTTTTATCAAATTCTAAGAAGCCCCTTATTGAGCAGTGCATTAGTAAAACATTCTACCCTTACTGAAAAGCTTTTGAGTCCTAAAACAGCCAGAGGACAACTAGTAAAAAGAGTTTCTGTGGCGTGATAAGGTCAGCCATGACTTAAGCGTTGACTCAGAGGTAAAATGCAAGCAATTTGGATGGTGTCAAAATTTCTGATTCTGAGCTCTCTGTCAGCCTAAAAACCAGTCCCATTACCTGTTTCACCTGTTTCCTACATTTGTGAGGTGGGGGTCAGTGACAGCAACTTCTGATGAAGCAGTTTAGATATCTGCTAGTGCAGAGTGCAGTTCAAGCTCTATGTTGCTAGAGTCCAAGGATTATGTACTCCTAGCTTGAGCTGGAGACCTAGAACTTGGCCAGCCATATCTGTTTGGGTTTTCTGGTTTCTGGAGGTGCTGGGATGAACTTGAAGATTAGAAGACTGCTTGTTTTCATAAAAACTGAGTTCTAAATTTCAGCTGTTGGTATTTTAATGTTAGGGATGTTTGAATTAACTGCGGTGAGGTAAGATTAGGATGTGAAACTTTGTGTCAGTGTTCTGTGATAACCATGAATATGCAGTTCTTAGTCTTGTCTTGATCAGGAATGGACCCTGTGAATTATTTCATGCTTATGGTTGGTGTTCATTGTCTGGTTCATTTATGAGAGTGGCTGATGATCTCATGGTGTTTTGTTATTGGTCTTAAATGTATAATCTTATTTAATGGGATAGCCTCTTACTTCATTGAGCAGAGGAATTGGTAATGGCCATGTGGAGATACTTGGAAAAGAAGAGGAGGGGAAAACGTAATGATTTTATTTTAAAGCAGAAGCCAGAAAGTTAGTACAGAATGCTTCACAACTTTTTTTTCCTGTTTTTTCTTTTTTCTTTTTTTTTTGTTTTGTTTTGGTTTTTTTTTTTGTTTTTTTGGTGGTAACATTAAATAAAGTTTTTTTAAAGATGAGAAGAAATAGTAGCGAGATAATACTTGGTAGCATTGCCCAAGAATTCATAGCTATCAATTAACATGGAGTGCAAAGCTACTCATTCTGTTGGGTTTTTATGAGCATTTCTATGCACTTTACTTCAAAATATTAACGCTGTGCCAGAGACTGGCAATTGTGAAAAATGTACCCCATAGAATAAACTTACTTCTCTAGCTGTAGCGGTAGTTGGTTTTGATTTTTCTGGACTTCTATAGATTGTTTCAATCCAGTGATACAAAATGGGTATTTTGAAACTGGAGCAAGTGTCAGTATTTTGTTACCTTTAGAGACAGGTCTTCCTGACAGAAACAAGTGAGATGTGGGATACTGGTGCACTGGGAAGAAAACTATCAAACATGACCAGGTGCTTCTGAGCATCTTCTGATTTATAGGAAGTCAGTAATTTTTAAATGCCCTATCACAGTGTTGTCAGATGAGCTTTTGGATATACTGGGGTAAAAAACATTAAAGTTAAATCACATTAAACATTTTTCAATTAAAATTAATTCAAGATGCCTTCTGGAATTTTTACTCTGGTGCATTTGTAAGCAGTTTCACTTCTCTGATAATGTTCAGAACATGCAGTATAGTACTCTGATTAAAAACAGTAAATAGTTTATTCTTTTGGCTTTTGAGCTGACTTTTACTGTAAGGTTATGGATCACATCAATAGAGCTTGAAGATTCAGCAAGCCACTGGGGTTGCATTTAAAGTCACCCTGGGATGCGAAATGGAGTACCTGCCAGTAACAGGTAGCATTGCTGCTGTCAAGCATTTTGAATTTTGTCCTGTGGGATACAAAATCTGAGTAATTCTCAAGGGATCTTTTATTTGCTTAAAAGTACATACACTTCACCTGTAATCTGCCTAAATGTCTGGAACCTCAGAGTGAAACGTTCTCTAATAGTAGCAATGGCAGCAGCACAGAAATGTCAGCTATAAAATTCTAGTTTCAATCTGGTCGTCCATAAAACAGTTGGAAGATTTTTTTTTTTAGTAATTCAGGTACATCTATCTCAGACACGTCCCACTAATCCCTTAATAGCACTGTTGAATAGTATCCACTAGTCATCTGAGCATGAATCCTCTATATATCAGTGTTTCTGTCCCTGGATTTATAAATGCAGTGCTGAACAAAATTAGTTAAAGGCATTTTGTGTGGTTTCTATTGGTCTAAAATGTGTATGATAGTAAACAAATTCTAAATGTAGTCTGGAATTCCTTTCAACATAGTTATTGTGAGAACTGCTTTTTACAGCAGGAAGAGGCTAGGAAGTTCTCAGATTTACTCTATCCACTTCTGGTTGCTATACGGTTCTTCAGAAAATGCATTTAAATACACACTTCATTTTTCAGCCTGAGATGTCTGTGGGCTAGTGTTTAGTGGCGTTGTGCATATTTTGAAAGTAGTGAAATTTCTGCTTCTGAAATCAGTTGTCTGGTGTTGCCTGCATGTGGAGGACAATTTTGTACACTCTCTCACCAGGGTACAGTTCCTCATAAGCACAATGATGATGCAGCTGCTTCCCTGTTTTGGAAGCACATTGAGAAAATGTATTAATTATTACTGAGGCAACCACAGAATGCACTGAAAGCAGAAGAAAAACTCAAGTGTACTTTACCTACAACAGGAATTTTATTATGTGAAGTAAATAAGGCATGTGTCTGTTATCCCAAGTCTGAAGTTATCCCAACGAAGAAGGGAGCATAAGAAAATGAGACTAATCTCTCTTTTCAGAAAGACAATGTGAGAAGTATGTGAATTTTGCAATTGAAGTTACATGTTAAGTTGATAAAATCAAGTACAATGGAAAACTACTTTCTTTTAGGTAGATTGGGTTGTTTTGGTCTTCACCAAAATTCTTTATAAAATTCATTAAAGAGAACTCATCTCTACTTTAGGTAGTAAATGAAAATATGTCTTGAATTTAAGTAGTAAAGGTTACATAAGGTTTAGTGAATTTGGGCTTGCAGCACCCTACTGTGTCTTAGTTGTATGTCTTGTGGCTGGAAGTTGGACAAATATGGCAGTATGACTTTTGGACTCAGGATCTGCTCATGGTTCTGTGAACAACTCTTAAATTCTTGTGTAAGGATGAAGCTGAAACAATATGAAAGTCGTGTAACTCCTAACTGTGGATACATTGTATTGCATCATATTTTACATAAATTTATATACATGAAAGAAGCTTAATGTGGAAGAAAATGTCCCAGCACTTAAGAGTTGTGATGTGCTGAACAGAATACGCTGTTCCAAATGTGGCATAACAAGAGCTTTCCTACATTGACAGCACAATATGCTGGTAACTTAGTGAAGCTCCTCTGTAAGTTCGTATGTAATTGCATAGGCTGGCTTCACTGATGACTTCAGAGGTTGGTTTGAGCAAATCCCAGGTGTCACTTTGAAATTCCAACTTAAACTATTTTTGTGGAATTGCACCATTCTGACTTCATTAAGTGACACTTTCTTCATAATAATAGTATTTCCCTGCCAGGA